TTGGGCTTGCCCTGATTTCTTTGTTAGTGGCATCAATCTCTCATTCCCAAAGGAAGGCAATATACCCGGCGTAAAATGGTTAACTTAATGTGCCATTTTATTATTTTTCATTTATGATCAAAATTCATATACATATTATAAAATACTAACATATCGTATCACATCATTACCTCAAACTTTTTCCGTGAAATGCATTATCGGGAATGTTGATTACCGCATAAAGATATTATAGCGAATGCATTACCGCGAATGCATCATAGCGAAAACAGTATCGCGAATGCATTACCGCAAATGCATTATAGCGTGATGTATTACCGCGAATGCATCATAGTGAATGTATTAGCGTGAATGCATTAACGCGAAATTATTATCGCGAATGCATTATCGCGTATGCAATAGTGATTTACATTTGACAAATGGTTGATATAATTATTAGAAGTAATAAAATTTTTTGCTACTTATCCACTTACCTTCTAATGAGGAGTTCATCATTAATATGTTTTTATTTTTTAAATATATCGGAAACCATAAATTTGTCACCTTTTGGAAGTTCCTAGCCTATAATATATTTCCACCGGATCTCTATTTCTCTAAGGAAATTATTTAGAGTCTAATTATATTGTAACTCATTTATCAAGTTCAGACCTTTTTCAAAAAACCAGAGAACCAGCTTAATTGAGGTTTCTATATTTATTTAACGTAGCGATTTTAAATTTTTATAACTCTAAAACACGTCTCTTGCTATTTATGAAATATCATATTTTATTAAAAAATATATGGAATTTAGTATTCTCAATTTTTTTTTTAATTATTAGATGTCGTTATTTATAAAATTTGAAATACTAATTAGTGATCTGCATCCGGCCTAATTTTCCAAGCCCGGCCCGAAATTATTTTTAAAAAAGTTTTGCCGGCCCGGCCCGAACCCAAAAGTATTTTTTAAAAACACTACCGACCCGGCCTGGCCCAAATTTATATAAATATAGAAATTAATTTTTATAATTACTCAAAATAAAAGACATATGTTATATGTCGTTTAGTTTCAATAAATAAAATCAAATATTTTTTAGATATATTTTAAAAAAATTCCAAGATCCGACCCGACCCAGCCCGAATTTTTTTTAGAAATATTAGGCTCGGCCCGAACCCAATTATTTTTTCGGGCCTAACTTTGCAGATCTCTAATACTAATATTTGACAAGAAATAACTTAAAACTCCCATTTATTTTTATTTATTTAAAAATGAGCTAGACGTGTTCCCATTATGTTGATCAATAGCCGGACGCTCGCTTTTTTTTCAATTTTTTTTCATAATTATTAATTAAAATGCAAAACAAGCATACTTTGAGATCCATAAAATTATAAAATTAAACTATCCTTTTTTTTTCTTGTATAACATCTAACAATAAATGCCAATTTGATTATTTCTTGCTAAATTAAGGGCAATATTTTACCAATTTTTCTTTTAAGTTTGTAAGATTCAAAAGGTTGTAGCCTATTACTTAATTTTTTGGTATATGGAACCTGTATTTTGAGGTCTCTTTAAAACTTGTTGAACTGGGCTAATATTTTTCCTACATAATTCAGGAATTAAACTTCATTCCAATTTTTCTTTTCATGGCACAATTTTATTGTTTTTAATCACATAACTAGAAAAAAAAGACTTGGCAGGAAGCATGAACATAACAAAAATCAATTAAGGAAATCATTATTCTATTGTTTTTTCCAATTCCTGAGTCACAATAGTCGCTATTTCATCATCATAGATTACATGAATTCTGAAATGTATAACCATTCAATTCGACAATTTACCTATGATGCTGAATATTGTTTCTTATCTTGTGATAAGCTTTAGCCTTGTCAATATTAAGCAATAAGAGAACTTTGTGCAAATTTATTGTCAAAATATGCTTAGAGGACTAATTATCTGTTTGACTCAATGTTTTAAATAAGATTTTTTTTAGCGCCTCACAAATTTAATTTATTTCAGTCAAAGCTCCATCCAAAATCTTTATTTTAGCCTAGCCATTATTTTAAATTTTAGGCCTGCCCTGTCCTAAATAAATTAAACGCATATTTAAACAATCAATTATTATAAAAATTTAATTCCTTTCCCCAATCCGAAAGAAATCTGTTTTATTGCTTTAAATTTTTTTTATATATTTAGAGTCAAAAAAATCAAAAGCCTTAGCCCTATTTTAAAATGTTTTTAGACCCAAGCCCGACTTTAGTTTAATTTCCAGATTCAACTAAATCTGTATAAAGACCGATAAATATAAAATTGTAATTTCCATCAAACTCTATTCCCGATATTGCAACTGATGTAATCCATTTAGAATAATGTATTCGCGATATTGCATTCGCTATAATATTTACGCGATGCATTCGCGATAATGCTTTCGCGGTAATTCATTCGCTGTAATGTATTCGCTATAATACATTCGCGATAACACTTTCGCGGTATTACATAGCGCTAATGCATTTGCTATAATATTATTCGCTATAATGCATTCGCGATAATGCATTCACTATAATATTATTTCGCGCTAAAATTTTGCAGTATTGACATGTAACCCAAATCTAGGGTAAGAATAGACATTCTTTTTATTTAACAAAATTAAATCATGAAGGTATTATCCTTATCATTGAGTTGGCATTTTATCAAAGTGGAAATATCATCATTAATAAATGTGATGCGTGTAGATTAGAGGTCGGCGCGTGCCAACCCGCACTGGTTTTTAAAATTTTTAATTTTGTACAAGTTGTTTTGACCGCCCCATAATTAGTCAGAAAAATATTGCCTAAGCCCAAGAGATTTCGATAATACATGTATAAACATTTTTTCCTTCTATGAGCAAAATCTTCAGGCTTGCGTAATATTTTTCTGGATGAAGTATTGAGTTAGCCGTTTTTAAAAATAAGCTCAAAACGAGCCGTTTAACAACACTACCCATAATAATTTTTTGGAAAGGAAAAAGACATAAATTTGCCTAATTCTACATTTGATTTTTTTTCTAACTTCAGACCCGAACCTTAAAAATATTTCTCATAAATTTATCGAACTATACGCAAATATTTTTGGCCACCGGGCCAGACCACGCCGACCTATATTGTGGATATCATCATTACTATTTATGAAGCATAGATCCCTAACATTATTAGTCTGTTAGATTAACCGACTGTAACTAACTTTGGCATGAATAAATATATTGAGTTAAATGATAAATCAATTATATACGGAAAGTCACCGCCCTGGGAAGTTCATCCTTTATTACTTTAGATATCATCGACATGAAATCGTCTGCCCAAATTGTTCCGAATCTATATATATTTGCCCTGTTTAATGATTATGGAAGGAAAAGTCATGACAATTATCCTATTCAATTGTTACAATAGAACAGTGTCTTGGATGATTATAAAATTAACACTTTATTCTCTGGATACCTCTAAATTTTTAAAATATATTAATTAACTTTCTATAGGGAAAATGAAGGTATATATTGGCATACGGCTCCAATGGCAAGGTTGATTCGGTGTTATTGAACGGTTTTTCATCAACATTCTAGATATTATTGAATTCTAATTTATATTTACTTAATAAGCTTGATGAATTCTCGAAAATAATTTATTTCGATTTGAATCCCATATGTTCAAGCTAGACTCATACATAGAAATATATTTATAAACATTTGGGAATCGCATCCTTAGGCAAGCCAGCTATTTATGGTCAATTTAAAAGAATTTACAATCCTATCATAAAAAATTAAATACCGAGCTAGCCAAATTTTTTAAACAAATTTAAATTGTACTAATTAACCAATTGAAAATTGCATAATGGATCATTTAAATTTCATTCGCTTCTCTTTGAAATTCAATCCCGGCTTGAAATTAAATTAAAGCTGGCCCGAGACCGTTACAGTCAGGTCTTATATTTTATTTGCCTATCAGGAATGAGGAGGGGGAAGCTATGTAAGGAGGATTATAGAAAAAAGTGTAAATATTCATATTCGTTTAAATCGATAAAACTATGATTGGCGAGGGTATTCCAAAATTTAGAAAAAATTAATCAACTAGCCAATCTACGATCCGGGATCTATTTTTCCGGGTGGTAAAAATATAATATTCTTCTTAATATTATATATACCTTTTAAATTATTTAATTGATGTTCATAATAGCATCCGGTCATCAAAGATTTCTTTCTTCAAGCATGCTCAAATATAAAATATCTTATTATGAAAAACACTCTTTCACGAGATCAAAGCAAATATTAGATATTTATAGATGTATACATTTTATAATCTACTCTAGATTCTGACCAAATTAGATATTTTTCTTAAATTTATATAGATTTTTGTAAAACCCTTGAATTTGATTTGTTGTAAAAAAATTTTTTATAAAAATGATATCAGATCTGAAAATATGATATTCGCCAATATTGTCACCGATCAGTATCGATATTCAATCCACATATTATTTTCTCATTATTAAATAACGGGAGTTCGATCATGTAATACGTAAATATTGTTTTGTACTTGCAGAATTAAGAGAGTATCGTTTAGTTAACAACCGCATAGTATAATATGTTTCCATAATTTTTGTTTAAAAATATTTTAATATTGTAATTGTATATGTAATATGAAGCTTTTACATTACACATGTTGTTAACTTATCTAAAAACAAAAAAATTAATTGTTTTTTCGTAAAATATTTATTTTTGTTCCTCTTAAATTATATAAATAGAATTTTTTTAATCTTTAACCATTATATTTAGATCTCTTATATAGTCAATCTTTCATGATTAATCATTATAAACAGTGTTCGTAAAGAAAATTCTTTAGGCAGGAATTGTAATATTCACATATAAATACATACTTTTTTAAAAATTGTTGGAAAAACTTAAATATAATATCTATTTCTCAGTAGTTTAAATTTCAGGCGGGAATCGAAAGTATTTTATTCATAAAAAAAATAAATATTATTTTGAACTTTTTTACTGCAGGGGATAGTAACAACAATTTGAGAGAATTGAATGCAATCGCCTTGAGCAATAATGAAAAAACATCAGCTCTTAATCAAAATTCTGGCTCATCTATAATGATAGATAATAGGATGATGGTATGGCTCATTTACACATAATATTATATATTTATGCTATTTATTAAAATTATTATGAAAGGATAAAAGTTGTGTAATTAAAATTCCTTGCTTTAACTTTGAGACTTTATAAATTTAATTTAAATAGTTTAGATTTTTTTTTTTCAAATCTTAAATTTAATTGTTTTGGATTTTAACCTTTATTTAAGAATATTTAAATTAAAGTAAAAATATAAATATAAATCAGTATATGGAAATCTTTTTTTATATCACACTTAAAATTATTATATAACTTAACTTTAATTTATTAATAACATAAATTTCAGACAAACGGTTAAGTCTAAATATCAAGTTTTTATCAGAATTAAATAGATTAATGCTATAAAATCAAGTCAGAATTATAGGAATAGGTGTATGGAACTCCTCAGCCCGACACTTGGACTTGGAAGGGTTCGTCTGGTTTTCGGTCGGACATAATATTACATTTTTTGGATGGACTAACCTGATTTATTTTTTAAAATAATTTTTCATTAAAATTCAAGAAATGAATTTTGTAATATTTGATTTACCAGAATTAAGAAAAAAAAATTATTATTCTCTCTTCTTTCATTGGTTACATATAGTCATGCCATGTAATCGCTCACATCTCAATCCACTTCAATTATGAAAAGCTTTTATAGAAGAGATTATGTATTTTATAGTTAGATTTAAAAGAAATTTTATCTAGTTAGCTTTTAGATTACCTGAAATAATATTGTTCAAAGATACAGGAAACTGCCATTTTTACCTCTTTCTGGTATTAAAGAAGTTGTTATTTATTAAAAGATAAATGAATATTAGATTTTTTATATTTAACTAAGTCAGGAATTAGTTATTAGAAGGAAAATAAATTAACTTTTTTATTATTTAAGTTATTTAGTTCATTATTAAGTATAAAATTAAATTTTAAAAGCACTAGGACCTGCAAATTTTTTTATTTACCATTTAAGTAATATTTTGCAATTATTAGCTATCTGCTTTTTCCTATTGCAAATACTTAAAAATATATACGACTATATATATATGTTTGATATCAAGAAGAGGCAAAAATGGTTGATTTTGCGCTGTTGACACCTTTTATTTTATATAATATGAGGGCTAACAAGAATTTTTATTTTTGTACTAACTATGACACCTATTATTTTATTTTATATAATATAATATGAGCTAAGAATTTCATTTCTGTTCCAACTATAACACATATAACCTTCATACTAAATTGTATCAAAATTGAATTTATTTGCTTATTTGACATGATTACCCAATAAGAACTATAAATGCCCTTTGAATTTTAAGAGTTAAGTTTATCATTTTTGACAACTGAATAAGTTCTCAGAATTCAGAAATACTTTTATCTTTTCAAATACTTTATTTTTCCCTACATTTTTGATAGTTTAAATAATATTGCCGCAAATAACACAAAGATCCCCCCCCCCTCCTCCTATAGCACAGTGACCCCCACCCCCGCAAAAAACAAAATACTTCCTAGCTTCTACTCATAATTTGAGAGCTAAGAGACCCCTGAATTTGTAAAAATTTGGGTTAGGCCTCCCCGAATCGCATATTGTGTGGAGGTTATTTACGCCTTTGATCACAGCGTTTGATATTTAATTTTAAATAACTAAAACCGGTCTTTAAACAAGTCAGATACAAAACCGCAAAACACCGTTTATCTTGTTACATAATTTTGTTTGATTTATGCCCTATCACTTAATATACTAAAAAAAATACCTTTTACGAATAAAGCCTAACCATTTTTATCCGATTTTCTCAACTTTCAATGAGAACAATGTGGGAACTGACCCAAGAATGTATATGGTCATGCCAAACGCAATGTATACAAATAATTCCATTACATCTAATATAGGTTTATAATTTTATTCTGTACTATAATATTTCTATCATTATATTACTATTTTGTCCATGTACAATTTTTTATAATAAAATATATAAGATGATCAAATCACCTACCACCTAGTATTATTTTAGCTGGATTACTGTAAAATCTAAACTATTGTACATATATTCCATAAAGTGGCCATTTTTATTTTGGAAGTGATCATTTATAAATCTAAATATATCCTGGTAAGTGAATGTTAATTTCCAGTAGGGACCATGGTGATCGTGATTTAATTAACTATTATATGGTGAATTGGCCTAAGATCGAACTAATTATAATTTTAATTCTTATTGTTTACCCCTTAAAAATGTTGGATATAACAATATTTTTGTTTATAATTTTCCCCATTAAGTTAAAAATTGTATACGGTTGAAAACAGAATTGTGAATAGAATTGTGAATGTGAGCTATTTTTTATCCGTGAATTTTTTCTTAATAATTTTATAGAACACGACAAAAAAATTCATACCAAATTGATCAACCCCTGTATTGATACCTTTGAGCTCTCAAAACCTTCATCTCCTGCCACCTCGATTGATTCATCAACTTCCTCCCTCCGATCCTTACGCAACCCTCATTCAAACGATTATGAAAATAGCCATCCTAATTTGAATCATTGCGCGAATAGCAAGGCAAATTATAACAGCACCAAAATAGAATATGGTATCGGGATTAACGAGTGCCCTTTGATTCGGTCTCTTAATTGTTATCCTGAGGAAGCCAGTCAATTTTTACCTAACAACAATCAAAATATTGATATATCGCTCAACGAAGAATCTATCTCACGAAATGAAGTGTCTATCTCAGCTAGTAGCAACAACGTTACAGAGACTCAATCCAATAAACATCACGAAAATTTACATGTCTGTCAAAACTTCTCCGATAGGGGGGAAACTATTAAAAACATTCATTCCGAAATTAGCGTGACATCTGGTGAAGTGACTCCTATCAATATTGTCATTGATAATTCATCTCCCGATTTAGGTTTTTATAAAATCTATAGGGATGTACCGATATTTTTTATCGAATCTATTAAATATCGGTTAAGGGCCGATATTATAAAATTTCCTGATCCTATAAAATGGCGTCTTAATTTAAAAAAAATTTATTTCAAATTTCCTAATATATTTATTTATTGTTTATTATTTAAATTAATTAATATTATTATATAAATAAGTAATTTATCTATACTTTTAGATCCATGAATATAAATTATAACGGATCATATAATATATTTATATGACTTATGTTATAGTTAAATTATAGATACTGATGAGTAGATGTATGAATTAAAAATTATAACGTTTAGTAGGTTTACAGAATACAATCAGATATGATATCGGCGGCCTACAAAAAGTGGTATCGTTACACCCCTAGAAATCTATTTTAATTTTTATTCATATTTAATGCTTCATTATAACATTTATTTTTTATTTATAATTTGTATTTACACTTTCGGCTAAAGATCTTGCCTTAACACTTTCAACAAACTCAGTCACTCCTATCATAAATAACAACTTTAGACCGATCGAGGCGCAATATATGACAACAGTTCAAAAGTTCCACCAATCGACGTTACATCCAAATTCCCTTTTAACCCTTCCACCCCCTCCATCACTGATGTTGCCTGAGGGCCAAAAGTTTCCCATTACTCCTATTGTGAGCGGTCCTTCATTATGTCATAACAATCCTTGTTATTTCTACTATTACAACAACAATCAATTGCTGCCACCTATGCCACCACCCTTATTGCACCAACAACAGCAATCATTATCGCCTGCCGATTCCCCTTGCCCGGCGTGCGCTTTGGAATCTCAGGTGGCCACTTTCGTAATACCCGTGATAAATCAACAGCATCCATCCCTCCCACCCCCTTCTCTTCCCCCGTCTTTTATCAACTCTGCAGGCGGAACCGAAGGGACAGATGGTAGTTCTCCTTTTCTTTATTATTATTACGTTTGCCCCCCTTCAATTAATAACAACAATAATGGGGACGGCGTAAACGATTGCCAAGTTATGTCCTCTTTATCGGCTCTCCACTCAGCACATACCAATGACATTCCTCCATCTCTGTTATCTTTTGAAAAGGTGTTGGATTCGTCGCCTTTCAACGTTAATATATCGCCTGACATACATTTATCCCTTTCCCGATCGAGTGATATTACCTGTAGTTCAATTGAAGCAGCGCTCAACAAGGAACAAGGGTCTAGGATTGTACCAGTAGTTACATACACTATTACTTCTATGATTTCTCAAACACCACTTAACATAAATTACGAAAAGGGCAAGTCTGACTTGCATATCTCTGTTCCCAACGTATCGAATGATTTTTCCAGTGTAAGCTCAATATCCAGTCTTTCTGAATCGAATTATTCTATAAGTCTCAACGAAATTAAACAAAACGATATTTTGAACAATATTGAATTACCTAATTCTTCACTTAACTCTGCCATCTCAAACATGGACAGTTTAGATGGCATTATATCAAACCATAATCAACCGTTTCAATTGTACCAATCACTACAATCCCAAATCCCTACATCGATGACCACTTTTAACAACATCAACTACACTCGACCTCTTATCACAATACCCGTTGGGGAGAATTCTAGGGAAATTAATACGCCGCTCTTTTACTACTCTTTAATTCACTCATCTTCTTCGGTCTCTAACCCTTCTTTGCTTCCTAACATGCTTACCTTTCCTATGGCCCCCACATCTCAAAGTCTATTGCCCCTGATGCCTCCTTTTCTTCACACCTCGACCGTGTTTCCTCCTCCGCCTTTCCTTAACCTGAATTACGGCCCATACCTTCCGAATTTGCTTCAAAATAACCTCAACATCAACACCAGTTACCACACGGTTCCCAATCTACCTTCCATTTTCCACAAACACCTGTCGCCTTCATATCGTGGTAAGCGAACTAAGTCCTCGGCTTCTTCAAATCGGACCTCACCTTCATCATCCAAGAAGAGTAGTCACAGCTCTTTCAACGAACAAAATTTTAAATCACCACAAAAGAATCAAGAGGAAAAGGATAGCGAACAAGGGCAGTCCTACAATGGGAATACGAATATAGCTGGAGACCTTAACGAACGTATTAGTCGAAACCGAATCCCCGAATCGCCAGATTATGGGTTGGGCAGCGACGTAGAGTCTGCCAATAACGTTATAGGTATCGTCCTCCACAATTAATTAGTGTTTCGTTTGTTTAAATTTTTAAAAACAAATTTCCGAAATTATAAATAGCGTTTTTATTTTAATCTTTCCAAATGTTAGTTATTAATTTTTACCGATATAAAATGACCTGATATTTAAATATGAGCAGAATTTCTAAAAAAAGACACTAAAATCCGCTCTTTTTTACATGTAAATAATCTTTAATATTATATTTATAATCCTTTTTTAAAGAATAAAAATTGTATAATGATAATTTAATTATACTATTTCTTCATAAATTCATTATAATAATCCTAATTTACTATTTATATTATAATATTTTTTTAGACAACGACGATTATTCCAGTTTGGTCGAAATTCTTTCAAACATCACAGACATTTTGGTATATCCATAATTTTAATGCCATTTATTCAAAATACTTAATTATTTAGATATATAATATCACTGCTCACACCGCGATTGTGAAATGGAAATCTTTGTTATGTCCTAAACAATCAAACATCGATGATAATTTAAACATTCACGATAACGAGAAGTAACCCTTTATATTCTAATTTAAATTACTCATTTTGCCCTTCTAGTTTAAATTTTTTAACAATTGAACGAAAAAAATAATTTTACATGAGACATTGAAAACAATAAGGGATAATTTTAAAACTCGCCTTAAACTTGATGAATATTTATATATACTAGTTTAAACAAAACCCCTTTTCGGCTCACTTACGATGAATCTAAGGTAGATGTACCTGAAAGACTTCCTTCCGACCCATTTTATAAAGTCTATCTTTACAAAAAAAGTGGGAACTTATCTAATTATAAAAAGTTATGCTCTTCCGAAGACCAAAAAGATGTGAAACTGCAAACAAAAGCCGAAATATTAATCAATGATATATCGCAAATATCTAGCCATGGGATTTGTGTTTACAAGTAATCATCTATTTTAATGGATTTCTATTTTATTTTACATCCCAAATAATAATTACGAAATTTATTCTCCAACGTGTATATAAATGATATTTTTTTATATAGTGGGTGCGCTACAGAATGTTCTTTAGATAATTTGACGCCTTATAAAGATTATGAAATTAGGTATGAACTTTTATAATTTTATATTTATCAGTCAACATTATTTTACGCCTTAAAAAACTCAGTTAGGTATGTCATAATTAGTGTTGGGAAATTGACTAACTAATTTAACTCACATTACTCGCCAATCCTGTTTTTTGCTCGAATATCGAGGCTGAGCCCTTTTTTTTGACTAAAAATTTGGCTAAACTGTCTTGAAGTCTGCTTGAGTTAAACAACACTAAACTTAATATAATTTTATGTTTTTTTTGTTTACTGTGAATCTGAATTACTAATGGTATTAAATTATTTATCGCTAAAAGATTATTTTTAAATTATTATACATAAGAAAAATATAAAGCGAAGAATTATTAAAATTACATATATAAATGCGTACATTACATTTATTTTTATTTACTTGTATATCTTTATATAAATATAGAATTGGAGCATATATTGACACCGTCAAAGGAAGAATATCAAATGGTAAAAACATTTTTATTCAAATTTTATATCATTATTTTATTTTAAACTATAGCCGTTTCATTTAAGAGTTTATCAACTATACCGGATACGCCCGAACCTCCAATATTATTAAATCGTACTAAAAATAGCATGTCACTTAAATGGACCGTAAGAACATTTTTCTATTAATTTTTTAGTTTATTACATATTATTATTCTAGTTTTAAATAAGTTTACGAAACCTATCCATTTTCATCATCTGGATAATTTTATATTATAAATTTTTTAGATTTTCTCACTTAATAATATCTTTTATTATTAATTGACATTTAAATATTTTAGAATCCCTTGGATAATGGTTCTAAAATCACTGAATATTCGTTACTAATGACGTCCATTCCCGCCTCCGCTTATATAAATAATGCAAATAATGTTGAAGAAGTACAGTTATATTATAATCGATTATATAGAAAAAAAATTAAAATTTCTCTTAACTTAATTCTTCTGATTTTAACATTCATTATAATTATTTATACGAATAGGTTCGACACATCCGCATTCGGGGCGGACAGATCAAAAAGAATTTTAAACACATTAAAATAATTTATCGGGCAGGATAGATTTTTTTAAAAATCGGAAGAACTCATACTTATATAAAATTTTTTTATTGTCTTCCTAAAATTATATGCTATTAAAGTAGTATTAAAAGATCCGCGCTATATTTTTTTAGGTACCGATCGGTAACGACGTTAATTTTATAAAAAAAGGCTACTTTTTAAAAAAAAACAAAAGTAGTTAATTAATAGCGCCGCTATTTATTTCGAGTAGCTATAGCTAGTTGATTTAGCTACAAAAAAATTTAATCAATATTTTAAATTGATTTGAATATAACCTATTTTTATATTTTATTTATAATTTGAATAATTAAAAAAAAATTATTCAAGAAAGTATTGAATAAAAATATTATCCAAGAAAGTATTGAATAAAATATTTTATTTTTAAAAAATGAAATTTATTAAAATCCTTTCACTTCAATATTATCCAAGAAAGTATTGAATAAAATATTTTATTTTTAAAAAATGAAATTTATTAAAATCCTTTCACTTCATCCATTTTTTATTTAAATTTTGGAAGATGACATCTTATTCTAATCATAAACATAAAATTTTATTTAGATATTTTATTTAGGAAACCACAAAACAAAGAAGAGAAACTTGGGATAGATATTGTTGAATAAGCTCTAGAAATATTTAAATCTGATTATGACTTATATCAGGAGTATTTCACTTTTATAAACAAAATTGAACTTGGTTAGAGATGAACATAATAATTAAGCATAAACTAACCCGTAGATAAGCTCGTGAGCTATATATATTTTAATATCTTTAAACTCAATTTTTTTAAACCTAACAGAATGAGAACATCTCGTGTTCTTGAATTATTTTATGAATATACGATGAGGATGATGAAAATATTGATTATATAACATTTTAGAGATCATCCATATCGGGTCTTACATTATTTAAAGATTTCCTTTTTAAAACCACTCTTCATAAAACATAATACTCCTATTCCTCCAGTTCTCCTGTTGAGAAATTAATTAATCTAGCAAAGATGTTTTTGCTAGATGAAAACTTTGAGTGACATCTTATCTTAAAAACAAATACAAAAAGTTATTAATTAAAATTATATATAAAACTAATATTTTATTTTATTATAAAAAAATTTTATTATGCGATATTATTATTACATTTCAAATTTATATAAAAATTTCACCTTCGATTATAAAAAAAATATATAATTGGTGCCCTATTATTCAATTTATTCGCCTTTACTTTAAAGGGAAAAAATTACACATAAGTTTTAAAATAGCTACGTTGCATTTAAAATGTAATAACTATAGCACACTATTTTTTTGAGAAAGAGACATTTTTTTTGAAGAGCTGTTGTAGCTATAACGCGCTACCTTTTTAAAGTAATGTTAACAGCATTGCTAAAATCTCATATTTTTAAATAAGTGCATTTCCATATTTTTATAATATTTTTTACAAAAATTCCATTTCATTTCGCTGAATTTTTAACTGATATTTATTTTAATTAAATACTATAAATATAAAATATTATACGTTGTTGACCTATCCTTACGATAAAGAATCATAATATCTGAATTTTAAATTTTTTAATGGGTGTGATGCAGAGCTCTTATAATTAAAATTTAAAAAAATCATAAATATTATTATTAATCTACTTTTGAAACTTTTTATATACTATGAAAACCGGAACAGAGTTATAGAGTATCAACTATTCTTCATCCTACTTTTAGGTAATGATTTTCAATCTATTTTTATTAAAGCATTACTCTACTATATATACCGGCGACGCTAAGCACTTTAAGGCTTGCAAGTTGAAACCTGGAGGTACCATGGCTTACCGTTTCCGTATTTCCGTCGCCAATGCTCATGGTACCTCTCCTGTCTCAGACCCCGCCACATTTTTTACTCCAGGGGTCCCACCCCTCAAGCCTGATTCTCCACGTCTCTTAAAGGCAACTCCATCCACTCTTAATTTGAGCTGGCCTGCTTCCCTCCAAAATCAAAACCAAACGGTCTCGCTTCAAATGGAGGACACCAATTCAGGCCACGGGTTTTTGCCTGTTCTTAATTACAATAGAAGCAACTGCTCGGAGGGCCAGCGCATGGAAGATGGCAGTCAAGGAGATGAAGATGAGAATGGCGACAATTTGATGAAATGTCTCGTGCCACCAATGGCTGGTGGACTCTCATTGAAACGCAATACGGCCTACAATTTTAAGGTATTTATAAATCACTTTCTTTGCTTGCATTTGAAATATAAATTTTGGTTATTGAGAATTTTCGAATTTTCGTTGCTAGTTTATGTTTTAATTATTTTCTATTAATAAAAATCTATAGGAAGCAGGCGCGTACGCAGCAGGGGGTGGGATCAAGGGGACAAATCCCCGCCCTACCCCAAGCCAAAAAATGTAGATGCCGGATATATTTTTTAAAAATATTATTGTATATTAATTTAAATTGTATAATATTTATTCCTATCTCTTTCTTTTTAAATTTAATTACAGTTATTTATCACATTCATTTACTAAGTTATTTTATAAATTAATTTCGATTTCAAATTTTCCTTGGCGTAATATTTATCTATTATTTTCAAGTTTCTAGTGGCGTAATATTTATCTATCATTTCTAGTCAAATAATAATTATGCACATAATAAATTTTTTTAAACATATTGATGATGATGAAATTCCTAGTCATCTTACAAAAAAGCAAAAAAGTACGAATAATTTTATTACATTTTATAATTAACCTAGAAGAAGACATATACTTCTTAATAAGGTATTACAGATACCTATCATAAATATTTTATTTAATAATAGAATATTCTACCCCTTAATTTTCAATATGCATAAACTATGTGCTGATTGAAAGTTAAAATTTCAAAGCAGCTATTTACTAGATGGTTGTGGCTAGCATACTCTATTGGAGCTTATTGCAAGATATGTATCCAGTTTGGCCCAAGATATGATGGAAGAAATTTAGTTAAGCTTAACACTTGTTAAGACTCCATTCAACAAGTACATGCTAGAGAAATCTTTGACAATCCTCAAAAAATAGTTTATCACAAAAACTGTGAACTGATGATTTCTTCAAAAGAATTAATTCAAGATGAGGATATGATATTCCCATTTTATCACATATTGACAAAAATAGGATTAAAATAGCAAAAGAAAATAGATGTAAGATCAAACTAACTATTGAGGACATTCTATATTGTGCATTACATGGCCATTTGGATTCAGAAAGTTTGAATTTCAATAATAATGATAATGAAGGTAATTTTCATATTATAAAATTTAAAGCATAAGGGGATTCTGCATTAATGGAATACCCCAAGCGACAAAATATTTTAAACAAAATTATTTCTGAAACTCCTTGTTCAACAAGAAGAAAGAAATTGCAAAAAGCTTGTCCAACGAAATGGAGTTTTCGCCATCATGCAGTAACAGCTTTTATGGAGTTAGAAGAGCAGATTATTAATGCTCTTACTGAAATATCACCATGGCCTGAAAGAGATATTTCCTCAGAAGCAAGCAAATTATTGGATTTATTACTTATACTAAATTTTTTTTCTCATTAGAATGTATTAATAAATTATTGAATTATATAACTATTTTATGTAATACTTTTCAAAAACATGACAATGACTTGATTGAGACGATGAGAATAGCAGAGAGCATTTTATTAGATCTCAAGGAAATTAGGGCTAATGTTGATGAAGAATTTCACATTTTATGTGTTATTATTGAGTCAAAGGCAGAGCTATACGAGTTTAATATTAGTCCCCCACAGGGTCATTCCATGTCAAATCAATCACTTTTCGGCCGACCCCTTTCGATATTGATAAAAAATCGTAGGCTGGTTATATATGTTCCCATTAGATTATAAACAAAATTTTAGCGCATTAGCAACTATATTAGCGGAGATATTCGGGGTTAAAGGTCCAAAAAACGTCCTTTTTTGCTTTTTACTGATGTTAAATAATTAGTTTTTAATTTAAAACTAAATATGATCAAATATTGAATCTAATATCAATAGCTAAGGTAATAATTGATGATTATGGTGAAAACATCAAAATTATGATAAAATATGGGTCATCTTATGGTCAGTTGAAAACTTGAAATTAATATTTAGAAATGTATATGATCTCTGATTTTTAATTTTTTTAAGAAATATTATCCGTTTACTATTTTTTTAATAATTTCTTCAACAATTGGCATGGCTGAATATTTATTTAAAAATATATTGCGATTTTTATACTTTAAAAAAAATAGATGGCGCTATATATAATAGTTTAAATATGTTAAAATTCATTTTTTTTATTGATTAAAAATATTTTAATGTATATATATCATACTAAATCGATTACAATGTGCATTATATATATTTATTTGTAATTCAGATTATAAATTTTTAAAATCTTCACAAATTTTGCCTAATTAAGATAGTTTATACATTAATTAAATCTTACTTAATCTAAAGGAATACAAAGCCTGGCTAGCTTGTGAGATTTCTTCAGGAGATGATATATATGTTCGACTAGTGGGAGTAGAAGGATTGACCAGCGAGAGAATATGAGATTTAGGCAACACTAAAATATCATCTTTCAGATGAAATTTAAATGAGGCTAAAGGTCCACAAGGGTGTAAAATTTTTACTTCTTCATTTGTATCATTTTTATCGATTATATATCCTAACCACCATTTATCTTCGTATACACATGTTATATATCCATTAATATTTTAAAATATAATTTTCTCATTTAAAAACGAAACTTGTTTTATATTATATTTTTTGGAATTAGAATATATTTTGGTTTTTAGTCTATTTTGATCAATGAAATAACCCCGTGAATATTTTGGGTACCATGAATGGGCAGTGCGGAATCAAATCTTTTACGAAGGGCTAATTCCTCTTCGATATATTCTTGATTGGATACATATTCAAATTGAATTCCATTAATATTTTCTTTAGCATAAATATATAATTCTAATGGGGTTAGGATTTGATTTTTATTTGGCCTTTGAAGACTAGCTCTTGCAACTAATCTTTTGACAGTTCCTCCGATACCGTCACATGCATTTTTGCCGTGAGCAGTGGCAAAGAAATGCCATACGGCAGGAATATTAGAATTGTATTTATGAAGGCATATGTTCAGAAAATTTTTGCAATTATCGTATTGAGACGCGGCTTCATCTGAAAAATATATTATTTTTTCTGGTTTAGAATTAATTTGGCTGTTAAGAATTTAATAAATTTTTTTTGGTAAAGGTGGACTGCACTAGTATTATGGCTTAATGATTCGGACAAAATAACAAAATTTATATTTTTTAATTCTTCTCCAGATTTATAATATGCCACAAATGGATGTATAGTGGCCTGCACGTTGTTCCAATGAAATCCCTAAACTTCATCTAGTAAATTGAAGGAATAATTCTCTGAATAATCTAGAATTGTTAAAAATTCCCCATCTTTTAAATTTTCTTTGGAATTCTTCAAAAATAAACTTTGTGTTTAGCTATAAATGAGTGACTCAGTAAAATTTGAACTTTTTCTAATAGATATTCTATGAAATCATCAATGGACTTTATAATAGTTTCAAGATTTGCTCTATCCACAGTGATCCATTGTTTAAACGTGACATATTCTATACGATTTCTCTGAAACAACTAGTATAATTGGCCCTTAAGAGATTCTATACCAGGGCATTGATCACAATTTGTTAAATAACATTTTGGCTGAGATGGATTACAAATAATTTGCGCCAAAAGATAGTTATAAGAATTTATACAGTAATCTTCTCCTGCTGTAATTTCAGCTATTACATTTGTCATTAATTTCACATTCTGATGAATGGCGCACACAAACAGTGTGTGTGCCACTAGCTCCAACTAATATACAGTTTTTTGGTCTAAGTTCGGAAAATTTAGAGAATCCAATTGATATATTTGGGTATTCTTCCTTAAACATCTTGAATATTTCTTTAAGATTATTTAATATAAGTCTTTGGACTGAGTCTTTCTCGCCTTTAACAGATACACAACCTTTTATTCCAGTCATGAGTCGGCTTTTATCAGAACTATAATTTTGTTATTTGTATTGCTTAAAAAAATTTTCAAAATCTTTGAAATTTTCTTTATCACTGGTTATTTTAATAAAGATAATGAGAATTTCATAACATTCTTGGTCTTGATGGGTATGACTTTGTCTGGGGAAGGGGGGTGGAGGGTTGGGGGTAGGCCTGGTAATTAATGTGATTTTCGATTTTTCCCTTAATAATTTTCCATCAATCCTTTAATCCTGCTTTTTTGTTCGTGTGCTAGTCCCATTTTATAATTATTTTTAATTTATATTGAAATTTTAAAAAAATTATTAAAATTTTTTATCCTGCGAATATCTCAGGGGAATAAGGTTTACAAAGTTATATAATCGAATTTTATGATATATTATACATTAAAATATTTTTAATCGATAAAAAAATGAATTTTAACATATTAAAACTATTATATATAGCGCCATCTATTTTTTTTAAAGTATAAAAATAGCGATATTTTTTTAAATAAATATCCAGCCATGCTAATTGTTGAAGAAATTATTAAAAAAATAGTAAAAGGATAACATTTCTTAAAAAAATTTAAAATTGGAGATCATATTCATTTCGAAATATTAATTTCAAATTTTCAACTGACCATAAGATGACCCATATTTTAAAAAAAATTAATTTTGATGTTTTTGCCATAATTATCAATTATTAACTTAGCCATTGATATTAGATTCAATATTTGATCATATTTAGTTTTAAATTAAAAACTAATTATTTAACATCAGTAAAAAGCAAAAAAAGGCGTTTTTTGGACCTTTAACCCCGATTATCTCCTCTAATATAGTTGCTAATGCACTAAAATTTTCTTTATAATCTAATGGGAACATATATAACCACTCTACAACTTTTTATCGAAATTGAAAGGGGTCGGCCGAAAATCTTGATTTTTTTGCTCATTTCACATGGAATGACCCCACAGCAAATTCTTGCGTACGCGCTTGATAGGAAGATTTTAAAAAATTCAGAAGAAAGTATAGTTAATATCAAATTAGAGTTATTATTTTTTAAATAATATGTTTGTATTGTTTATATAATATCTTTAGAACAAAGTATCTATATATATCTATTTATTTTTGATCTATTTTTGCTGATGTTAAAAAAATTATTATAATTTATAATTAAGCTGCGAGTTAGCAATGATGACGGGCATAGCCCTTGGAGCGATATAGTAACCTACAAAACTTTGCCAGCACCCCCTGGTCCTCCAAGAAAACTTGCACTAAAAATTAAACCATCACCTACATCTCTAAAATTATCTTGGGGTATTTAAATGTTAATTATTACTAGTCAGAAGCATATATTTTTTTTAATTAGGCATTTGATAGGTATTAATAGAACTGATCATTTAAATTTTTTGCAGCATCTCCTTCAGATAATGGTGGTTCAGTTGTTCAACTATATTCTGTTGATATGAAATCTAACGGTAAATTACAAAAAAAAATTATTTGATGAATTTTTTTCATTTTTTGAATAAATACATTTCTAATATAATAATTCCCCAATAAAATTTGTTAATTTTTTATGATCTATTAAACATATTCACGAATAATAGGACATCCCTTCGTCTCAATATATTCGGGTCCAGATAAAGAATGTGGGGTAGAATGCTTGTCTCCTGGTACTGCCTATATTTTTAGAGTTAAATGTGAAAGTTTGGGGGGCGGGGAAGGTTCTTTCTCTCGTGATCTGATTCTTACGACTCCTGCTGCTGCCCCTTCGGCTTGCTGCACTCCAACCCTTTCACCATTGGAATCGATAGGGGCTGGAAAAAGAACAAGACATGGAGTAACAATTATTTATGGTAAAAATTAAGTATTTTATGTTTTAAATCTCGTCTTCGATGTGATACAGGATCATATTTTATATAACATAGTCGATAGTATTTTCTAAAAGAAAAATGTCACAACAATACCCTTTAGGAAGCTAATTAAATTACATAATATAATTTTAAAGTATTAAGATTGTTATAAAATATTATGCATATATTTTGAAATATTTGCACAATATTTTTATGGTATTTTTTATTGTTACATTAATATGTAACTTTATGAATACAAATGCTTGTATGAATATTTTTTAGTTACGTTAATATAAACTAGAAATTTAAATATGAAAAATTTTCTATATATTAAACCCATCATTTTTTTGTTACTAGATAATCCTGAGTCCGATGGTGGTTCTCCAATCACTGAATATGAGGTGGAAATGTGTCACGAGACTGCCAAAGACAATAAAAATAGCGAATCATATAACGTTTTATATAAGGGTATCTTGAAGAAGTGTGTGGTTAATGATTTATTACCCGCTAACAATTATAGATTTCGTGTCAGAGCTGGCAATGTTATAGGGGTGAATGATTAATAATAAAATAATAATCCGGATATAATTTTAAATTAATTTTTTTCTGAATCTATTAATTGAAATGATAGCTAATTTAAAAATATGTTGATAAACTCATTGATTTTATTACTCATTTTTTTCCTTTATATTTTTTTTGATAATAAAATTTAAAATTTTTATAGTTAGTTTACATTTGCTAGCAATGTCATTTTTTTAATATAATTATGGTTCATTATTTCATTTTTTTGACAAAATTAATTTCACATACTTTAACCTCGAAATCTAAACCTTTGGTCCCAAAAATATGACAGTGGGGTGTATGGTCAAACTGGAACAATTATAAAACCGGCGCTGGCCCGCCCAATCCTCCTACCCTTACTGTGACGATCAAGTCTTCTTTTTCTGCCGCTATGACGTTTAGGCCTCCCGAAAATGATAATAGTACTTACATCTTGGAATACGTTTTAGAGATGGCGAAAACTCTTCCTCAATCGCAAGCATGCCTGTTGAAAGAATCGCACTTAGATTTTATTAAAGTTATTTTTATATATATATTAATAATTATGTGAAGTTATTAAATTTTATAAATTTGAGATGAGAAAGAGGAGCATTCGGGTGAATTAAATAAATAAAATAATTTTCATTTAGTTTTATTAAAATATATCTTAATTAAATATAATTGTTCTATTTAATGGCATTCAAGGAAACTGTACTTTTGGTTGATCACCTTATTAAAATTTTTGTAAATAAATTTGTTGAATATTATTTTTAAATGATCATTTAAAGAATGTCTAATCATTTTAATTGTTATATTGTTTTATACTATATTAAAAAATAATATCAGATATATAATGGCCCTGACACAATTTTCGAATGCAAAAATTTGATCCCTTGTAACGTTTACTATTTTAGAGTTGCTGTAAGTTTAATTTTATTACTTATCATCTTGGCGATATTTAATATGTTTTATTTTAATTAATGGCATCACTTTGGAGTAGTGCCGGGTAAACTTCAAGATTGATTTCGGCGGTTTTTTTTGGTAACCTATTTATGTTATGATTATAAGGTTTAGAATAAACATCAAGGAGCAGAGAAAAAAATAAAGGAGCAAATGAAGAAAATAAAACAATGTTGAGATAATGCTTTTCCTCTGTTTTATAATGTAAATTTAATTCCAAGTTCACCAGCAACTGCAATCCACTATTATCTTTATTTATTAACCCCACACCTATTATATTTTTTCTATAATTCCGAAGATTTCCAAGTTTATCTACAACTTATTCCTTATTTATATATATTTCTTTTTCTTTAACGAGGTTTTACGTCTTTTCCTCCCCTTATGATCCTTATATATTCCACAACACTGCCTAAGAATATTCGTTATGTAGATAATCCAAAAATTGACCTAATTTTTGGCTGAGTCCTTTTTCAGTTTGCTTATACGTGATTTTTCTAATAATATTATAATAAAAATTAAACCACAAAATTGTATTTACATCTTTGCGAATCGTGTTTGGAGTCGGCTTAAAATATTTAATGTTAGGAAAGTATACATATTTCTTAACCTATCAAGTTGATTTACGATTTAAAAAATTCCATTTTATAAAATCCCTTTTTTTTCAATTTCTTAACTTGAGCCCCACGATTTTAAGCCTATAGTTCATGTATCTTTAAGGCAAGTCGATTTTTATTTAATCTCTAGATTAGCCTAAATTTAATCCTGAAGTTTAGCCAAAAAATAGATTTAGACCTTGAAATTAACCATAAAAATCGGCTTGAACCTCGCCTAAGATGTTTTGGAATTATCATCTTAAGTTAGGTGATTTATCAACAGTTTCGAACAGTAAAATGCAGCGTTCTCAGTACACTCATTTAATTTGATGAACAAAATATATAAATAAAAATATTGACTTTCATTTTATAAATACAAATTTTATTTATATGGGTTAGTTCCAAAGGTGAAAATAAGTTAATATGCATAGAAATAACACCGTTAAGCAATAAGACTTAGTCCTCGTATAACTTATTAATAAAAACTCGGTTGTTTAGCCGGTTACTTAGCTTTGGCTAATCAGCCTAAAATTTTTGAATAAATACTAAAAATAACAATGCTACTAAACACTCAAAACAAACCCTGAAAATAAATAAGTTATTTTTGAAGTGTAGGAACATTAATATTATACAGGCTACCAACGTTTTGGGTCAAGGCGTTTTTTCCCTCCCATTACGCATAATGACTCCTCCCTCCGTTCCCACTTGCCCTGCTTCTTCGAATATAATAAGCCTTCAAAAGCTACCCCGAGCCCTATCCGTGCAATGGAAGCCACCTACTGATGATAGAGGTAGTCCCGTACTCAAATACGGGTTAGAGGTGAATAATGTTGACTCTAAATCGGAATCAAAATATTTTACAACCGAAACTGATTCTTGTCAATATAACGTGAAAGACTTGAGACCAATTCAGACCTACCGGTATATATTTTTTGAATCTTGTATTTATCCTACAAAACACTTTTAAAAGGTAACATAATTAAGGCCTATTTGCGTCCCATTAAGTTCTAATATAATCTTAAATCAATTTTTTTCCCCACCTCTTTAAATTTAAAAACTTAAAACTCGCCATATTTTATAACAGAATACGGATACAAGCCATCAACGCAGTTGGAACTGGCCCCTTCAGCGGCCCCATCAATTTCACCACTCCTCCTGATATCCCTTCCAAACAACCCGTCATTAAACCTTGTTCCTCTTCACTGGTTGGCTACAACTTTGTTAAGGTTAGGTGGGAATACCCTGAATTAGCTAAGGAAACTATTATATGCCCAGATACGTTGACTTATGAACTCGAGATGGCCGATTATAGAAAATGGTTTTTAGTATTATCATTATTACATTTTTAATTTTTAGGATCCTCCATTAATAAGAATTGATATAAATAAATAAAAACTTACAAGCTTATTTATATTAGGTTCTTTTATATAAACCCTTTTTTAACTATGTGATAGTATAAATTGATCAATAAATGCTCGCGTTTTTCATGCAAAATGTTTATTATTTTTATATAAATTATAATCATTTAAAGTTTTAATTGCGTTTACGTTGGAGATGCTTTGTCTTGCAAAGTTACAAAACTTCATGAAAATTCAGTGTATGATTTTAGGGTTAGATCCTTCAATGAATCCGGTTATGGACCTTTTTCTTCCAATCATTCATTCAAAACTAGCTGGGCACCGCCCTCTACAGTTAAAAGTATATTTTTTAAGGTTAATAAAAGATAGTTGGTTTTTCACATCCGAACCGAATAATAATGTAACTAGTGTGGGTGTTATATTTATAAACTCGAAAGCATAGTTTCATATGAACCTTTTTTAATCTACAAATAGTTCCCTATTTATAAAGGATTTTAATTAACTTTTTACACTGATGATTTGTAATATCTTATCTTTATTCTACAGGCGTCAAGGTAACAAGATGCAAACAAGATTCTTGCTACATAAGTTGGGTTTATCCTACTCACTTCCACGCTTTTCCCCAATTCCTTCAATCTAACAGTAAAAAGTCCGATATTTCTGGAGACAATATTGATGTTGATTACCATTTCCATTCACCATCTATTAAAACCAATATTACATGGGACATTATTTTCGAAGTTTATTTGAATCCAAGCACCTCCAATAATATAAAACAAGATCAAGAAATTATTGATTATTTGGGAAGTACGAATCTGAGCTCCGATATTGAAGATTCGATTGGAACAGATTTTATATTGGTAAAAAAAAATGTTCACTAAGTTAATTTTTGATAAAAAAAAAATTTTACGCGAAATATTTTTTTTATAAAAAGTATTTGAAATCAGCATTAATTCGTTTATTGAATTATTTTATAAAAAGTATTTGAAATCAGCATTAATTCGTTTATTGAGTTATTTTATAAATATTTGATTACAGGTTTACAGGGGCAATCAGAGCGAATGCTTTCTCAAACATTTAACTCCATCTACGGAATACAAATTTAAAGTCGCCGCCGTGCGACTATTTTACAATGATCAAGTGATTGCTGACCATCATATGAGAGGACCTTTAACCCAAAGTTACACCTTCAAAACCAGCATAACTCCTGGAGCTTTGAATCGTTTTAATACATCTTCAACTCTCGTTAATAACGCATTTCCAAATGATTTAAAAGTGGATTTACCTTTATTAATAAAAAATCCTAGTCTGACTATGTTGTTCAAACATCCTGCATATGTTTTGTCTTCTTGCTTATGTGAGTTATTAAAATTGTGTTAATTTAAATATTTTATAAATTAAATATTATTCTATATTTTTTTATCTTCAAATAAAAATTATATTTCTCTATTACAATAATTTTTTAAAAAAATTTATAGCTTCAATTTATACCAAATGCCACTCTGCAACCGTATATTTACCTTCCTTTTTAACTCGCACCAAAACAGGGATCGTCGACGATAATAAAGTTACAAATGAGGTTTTGCATTACCCCTCTAACCCTCCAAAATCAATCACCAACTCCTCTCAAACTTTTAAAGTAATCAATAACCCGATAGGGAAGGACAAAACTATTCGTAACAAGAAAAATTATATCAATCACTTTGATTCATCCAACAAAAGCTCTAAGAACAAAAAAAAACTAACCGACCAACAATGGGCATTGATTATTATATGCATTTTCACCTTAGCTGCTGTCGTAACCACCTTTTTGGTTGCTAAATTAGGAAATTTATCATGATAAATATATACCCCACCCCCACACTTCCTATCATCTAATATAGGGAATTTTGTTTTTTAAGGACAAAATTGGGGAACGTTTTTTCTTCTAATATCGCTCACATTGTGTTTGAACATCCTGCTTACCAGTTGGGTGATGGCCTAAATTATATCATTAAGCAAACATATTGTATTGAATATTTAACCAATTTTTTTTTATCATTGGGTTTGTTTGATCTAATAGGGTATTATTAGATTTAAAATAATCAATATTTTTGCTGAAATTTTTTTCTATTTGTTATTGTGTTGAATAATTGTATTTATTTATCAGTATAATATCCTTTCTCTTTATGCCATAAATTTAAAATCCTGACAATTATAAAATTAGATATTTGGGTTATTTGTTTTTTTATACAACTTTTTATTTATTGTTGATTAACTACCCAGATTGCATTAAAATTCACAGAATTTTGCTTAACATTTATATTAGTTAGATAGATTTTATTTATTTATTTCCGTTTTAAATAAGATATATTTAATTATTATTATTTTATAGGGTGTTCTTATCTTTCATATTTAAAGATTATTGTGAAATAACAAACATTTAATAAAAACTTCTTAACTGGGAATATTTGATATTATTTTAATTTCTTGGATGCATGGACACTTTTTATATTATGAAAATTGAAAGCCTTATAATTTCATGATTTTGGGAAAATGATTTGTCTTACTTTGTTCAAAAACAATTGAGAATGATTTTTATATTGTTATAATTATATTAAATTAATAGGAATAAAAATATTGTTATTTTTCATAATTTTGTTTTTTATTATCAATGATAATATTTTAAATAACATCCTATAATAGATAGATACATGTATAATATTTATTTTGATTTGGGAATATTTATATTTACCCTTTTGTGTTTTTATTTTACATTTCAAATTTAAATTATAATAATATATAGCTCCTTCTCATTTTATACAAAAAGGGCAAAATATTGGTTTTAGTTTAAATAATTTGTTTTATTGTCAATTCATTTTTTTTTATTAACTATAAAGTCTAGATATTTAATAATATAATAAATATGAATATTTTTTTTTAAACGAAGAAGAAAAATTATTGAATTTACAAACAAAAAAATATTTTATACTCTTGTTATTAACTGGATATATATCTTTTAAATATGACAATTTTTTCAATTTATATTTTTCGGACATTATAATATTTTATTGAATATAAATTCAAGGCTCATAATATGTATCTGAGGAAAAATAAAATAACTTTTTAAAGATTGTGTAGCTTTGATGTATAAGTTAGCTGGCTTTAAAATAAAAGTACCTACTACGCAATACCTCGAGAATATTAATCATGATATTATAAATACATTTAGAAAAGGTTAAATTAAAGTGTTTAATTATTTTAAACATTTTCTTACTATAAAATTTTCATCAATAAAAACATGTCAATATTTCTAAACAAATGACTTAAATAATATATTTTGTGTGAAGGACATAAATAAAATTCAAAGCTGGTGACCAGGACATAGGATATTAAATTTTATAGGAACCGAAGCTAAAAGTCTGCAACGGGATGGTTTTCGCCCGCCTATTTAATATGGGGGTTATAAAATACTTAAACGACAGACATGCCGCAGGGTAAAAGAATTTTTTAAATTGGTTTCGAATTCCTAAAATATTATAATACCTGTAGGGATTATCTTGGGTTCGATTAGACCAGAAACTCAGGTTGTGATTAGCTTGTAGAACCAGGATATTGATATTATTTTATGATAGTAAATTCCAATTTTGCATTAAAAATAATATTTCTTCAAAAAATTTAAAAGTGAAAATTAATGTAAGATTAACTTGTATATAAATAACATAAAGCATCTCATGTAAACAATTTAATTATAAAATTGCCAACATGTATCAGTTAATAAAATAAAATAAAACTCTGGCATCCAATAGAATTTACATTTTGTGTGAATGGAATAAGATAATAATAAATTATATTATACTAGGTATGGGATGAGATCATTGGAATTATATATTATCTTATAGATAATTCAAGTGATGATTGCCATAATGTTTTTTCCCTAAATTATAACATTTGCAGAAGGTGCTAAATATATTGGGGAAGAGAGTAAATATATTATTATGATATTGTTTCCTTATAATGGAATACAATCAATAAATACATTATAATGTGGAAGAGGCTAAATATATCGGGGAAAGGAATAGATATATTATTATAATTTTGTTTTTCCTTATAATGGAACACAATCAATAAATACATTATATTGGGGAAGGGAAAAGAGGTATTATAATGTTGTTTCCTTATGGAATACAATCAATAAATACATTATATTGGGGGGAAAAGAGTTATTATAATGTTGTTTCCTTATGGAATACAATCAATAAATACATAATGGGGAAGGCGCTTAATATATTGGGGTAGGGAATGGATGTATTATTATAACATTGTTGTTTCCTTATAATGGAATACAATCAATAAATACATTATAACGAGAAAGGGAATAAATGTATTATTATAATATTGTTTACTTATGGAATACAATCAATAAATAAATTATAATGGGGAAGGCTTTAAATGAAGTGAGTAGATGTATTATTATAATATTGTTTCCTTATAAAGTAATACAATCAATAATACATTATAATGAGGCAAGGGTTAAATATATTTGGGAAGGGAGTAGATGAGATTATTTATAATTGTAAAAATAAAAGGTATGGAGATTATAAAATCTTTGTTAATACTCAATATAAACGAAATTACATTTATGTATGCATGAATCAATATTGATTAGTATCAAAATCAATATTTCATATGATCTTATTAAATTTTATTTATTTATATACCCATATCGATATCCATCTGAATCTTCCATAATTAAATGTTTTAAAAAAATCAAACAGACAATTAAAAATCCATTTTTTTCTTATAGTATATTGAAAAACGTCCATAAATGTCAATTACAAATCAATAGATATAACACGCCCTCTTTCTTGAGAAATCAAACTGGAGTAAAGAATTTAACATATATAATCTAAGTAAATGTCTACATAAATTCGTATAAACGATCTAAAGAAATATATAAAAAAAATTTTTAAAAAAATTCTTTTTTCTGTACCAGGAAGTTCCTTAATTTTTTCTTGACCATGTATAATTGTCATTGTGCTGTTGATTATCATTTAATTTTAACGGTATTCGGGTCATAGCTTGATTGATATTGTACTGATCATTTAATTTTAACGGTATTTGGCTAATGGCTATTGTCATTAAATCTTAACGGTTAGTGGGTCATAACTTGATTGATCCGTTAAATCATTGTCATGATCATTCTATCTTAGGCTCGGTATAATTAATCCAGCATCATTGTAGTTAATTGGACAGAATATTTAATTAATTTTTTAAATTATATCCAAATGTATTCTTTATTTTTTTCTTTTAACATTATCCCAGTCAATCATAATCCTAAATTTTAGATATTAAACATAAAATTTCTGATCCCAATATTCACATGAGACTTTTTATTATATGATGGACTTCTTTCTTCCCTTTTCTTGAATCTAAATAATATTACATATTTATATACCCAAAATTCCCAAAATAAACTATTCCAATATTATCTAATATTTTCCTTTATTGTTAACCATACCCTAATACATATAAGTCCACATTTACACATAAAATCAATAAAATAATTTTATTATCATAAACTTTTAAAAATATTTTTTAAACTATTTATATCCATCTTTAGGTCATGTTCAATATCTAACTTTTTTTTTTTTACTCCTAACTTTCATATCTGGGATTTGCATACTCTTTATTTCATTTATCGCTCCTTTTTTATATACAACATTATTCAAACACATCCATAATTTTCTTTTCATTTTTTTTTTAAACATTAGCAAAATGTTCAATATGATCACAATATTCTCTTTTTTCTTCACATTATATTTCAAAAAAAATTTATTCATGCTAATTATAATTCCAAAATTTAAATATTAAGCAAGTCCTGCATTACGTAAGGTCTTTTTTCCGGTGATGGATACCTATACCTAATGTTAAATAGTCGAGACTCTGAACTCAAGTTGGAGTCGCAAAACTCATTTCAAATTAGGTGCTGTGAGCCGTATGAGTCGGCTCGATGAGTCGGCAAAAGTTTATTTTGAATCGGCCTGCTATAATTATTTACTCCACGATGTATTTGAAAAATTAACCACTTTGGTTTAGGAATTTAAGTATTCATTCGAAATGACTTATGTGTAGTGTTGTTAATTTGCTTGGTCGTAAAATTTACGACCCAATTTTGTGCTTAGGCCTGCTCTGGCACGAACCCGGAGCACAAACCCGGGGTTCAGACCATAAAAAAAAGTTTTATGATTATTTGGCTTTGACAGGTCTGCTATATAATTATACTAACAATATATATTTAGAAATAAGTTGGTAAAATTTGGAAAATAAAATTCATAAATATGTTATTATAATTTAAAGTGCGAATTTCAGGAAAACTAATTTGAATGGGATAAACAAAACAACTTATAATAAATCACGAGAGAATAAATCATGATAATTTAAAAGAATAGACCTCCATCTCACAGGATAGTTCTACCAGACAATGGGTTTAGATTTCCAAACAGTGGATATTAATCCACTACACTGGATATTCTTTCTAAAGGGTATTAATATAGCTGACTCCTCTACAGGTTTTATTTCAATAAAAATAATAATAAGTTCTTTCATGCTTTCCTTTTTCTTCCTTTTATCTTTCACTGTTCCTTTTCTCCCTTTGTTCGTTACCATACAATTTTATAGGGTTAAGTTACTGATTTGGGCCAATTTACAAAAACGACCACCCTATTATTATTTTAGACACAAAAACGACCCTATTATTATTTTAGACAAATTAATATTATATAAGCCTTCAGATTTGGCAAAATATAGGTCCAAACATTTTTGCCATCTTCGAGCAAAAGCTTCAGTCTTAAATATTATTTTGGCTAAAATAATTGGGTTATTTTTAAAATTCGACCCCCCCCCCCCTCCCCTATAAAAACAGGCATAATAAGGTTCCTTTTTTAGATGGTCATCTTTTAATGGAATTGCAGGAAATTATTCACAGCTATAACTCCTTTGCTTTTCAATTTCTGAGAGTAGCTTCTATGATCACTAATGGCTTTCCTAACATATCCTTAAACCTAAGATCTACTTCAAGTTTTGGCATACGTTATCGCAATAATCCTACCTCATCTGAAATAGCAGTATTATTATCTGGTGATGGTAGTGATCATATATCCCATAGAGATATCATCCCAAAAACTATAGCTGATCTTTTAAGATGTATTAACAAGATCCACTCTTCATACGATCCCTTGCAATATGTTCTTCTTTTTCGCAGAGGCTATATTGGATGCCACCCATCTATTCATTAAAGAAACTCAAATATATTACCTTCAGAGTACTATGCCTATCGCTTTATGGTCAGGCCACCAAAGACTTCCAGCTATTGATTTTCGTAAACTTACTATGGTTTTGTTGGCCCAAAATTTGGTCTGTCAATATCATCCTAATATTGTTTTCTAATTACCTATATCTGTGCGCTCGTATCATAATCAAATTCAATTGGTACTCCGTTTATCCTAACGGATATCTTAGCACTGTTTCTACGAATTTGGGAGATTTTGTTAATTGAATCAGATGATTAATTATCATTTTTATTTAAAACATGCAGTTTATGTTTCTTACAGTATTTTACAAAGTGCACTACCTTTTGGCAATTCTAACATTTTACCCTTGATGCAAAAAATTGGAATGAGGTGAGTACTTCCACATCGTGAACAGTCACTGTTCTTAGCCATATCAATGTTTTTCAATTCTATTATCTCTGTACTTAAAATTGTTATTAATATTATTATTGTAATAATTAAAATTTCCTTTTTCTTTAATATCATGTGGGTACTTTTGATTAAAAGGATTTCCTTGTTTATTCTCAAATTGCTTCTTAGCCCTTTTTTACCATCATATTTGTAACTTCATTCTGAGCTCTTTCCATTGCCAAAACCATATTTAAAACTTGTTAAGCTCACCCTTTATCCCAGGTCATTAATTTCATCTGGAAATCTGGCGCGAATATCTTTCTCCAATGCAGCCCATTTTAATTCCAACCACCATCTGATCCCTCAATCTCCCATCAAGGTCAGATTCGAACTTACACTCTTGTGCTAATCTTTTAAGCCCACCTGCAAACTCTACAACTGCTTCGCTTTCCCCTCTTTCTATTTGAACAAACATAATCCTAGAACTAAACAAAGTTGAAGTGGGTTTAAACACTGCCTTGCCAATTTCAACTATTTCATCATGATTAAGTTCCTTTAAGATTCTTGGAAATAACCTCATCTCTGCCAAATTAATAATCCCAATGAATGTAAATAATATTTTTTTTTAGGTTTCTTTATTTAATAATATCCCTCTCATCTCTAACACATCATCTCTATATTCAATATAGTCTTAAACATTGTTTTGTTTATCAAAATTATCAAATTTTACTTGAGTTATATTAATTGATTCAGAATTGTTTTTACTTGATCATCATATTCGCTTCACTTAAAATATACATTTCACCACTCATATTAATTAAAATGTTTGATTCATGACTTTTCCCAATTACAGTAGTTGGTTTTTCCTCTTCGTCGCCATTAAAGTAATATTTATTGTGTAATCATTAATAATCATCATAATATAATGCAAATATAATGTAATATAATTATCTAAAAATATCAGCAATTTGGATTTATTACAAGATTCGTCAAATTGGTTATTTTTCTTAACAAGAGTATTAATTTCACGGATTTATATCCCATCCGGTTTAATCAGATAACTTCCCATTTTTTCCTTAAAAATGGTTTCACAGTTTCGATACTGCCTATATTTATTCCAGAATTGAGGAAATATTTGAGTTGTAACACAATTTTATAAAGTGTAGACTTTGTATCCTTAATTTTTTTTATTGGTGTAAAAACTGTTTCATCTTATGGTCAGAGTAGTTTAAATCATCTTCATCTGAATAAATATGTAAAATTGATATAATATTCTTTATAAAATAAATGATAATATTAGAGATTGATACAATATTAATTAGATTAACAATCTTGGCTGAAAATTTAACAACGAAAATTTAAAATAAAAGAAGAAATTTGGTGATTGATCTGACTTAAAAACTCGGCTTAAATTATTTTTAAACACGTTTTTTCCATATTTTTAAGAAAAAATTTAAAGTAACGAGCAACGTACTCAAAAAAAAGAAACGCGTCACCGTTACCTCTAGAAGAAGGTAACGAATGGCATTCCTTTTCTTCGAATTAGGTAACGCCGTTACTTTTAAAATTGAAAATAGACTTCGCTTAAATTAGTAGCAAGCTGCCGGTATTGCTATTTTTTTCTAAGTAGAGAGCTTAAGCTACCACTATGAAAACTGAAAAAATAAGCGCGTTATTTTAACAACACTGGTATATACTTATTTTATTTTTTCATTTTCTAAATTTTAATCTATTTTTCATTATAAATTTTTTAAATTTTAATAATCTTATTAACAGTGAGAATAAATGCTTAAAATATTTATCTAAAAATAATATTTTTTAGTATCTAAACCAGTACGAACCGACAATGTTATAAAAGAACATCTATCTGGAAGGATACTATTTAATTCAAATTTAGAAATTCCAAAAATTTTCAACCTTATCTTTTTGTTTATTAAAAATTTCAAGATAACTGAAATTTCTAGTTAAATGATGATAACATTTTTATCATAATTTTCCTTAAATATTTTAAATTTTTAAGATAAGTTTGCAACTACATAAATCCGTGATCATTAGCTTATCGGTAAGCCGGATTTTTGAAATCGATGAAACAAATATTTGTAGATGTAAATATAATAGAGGAAGAATATTAGTGGCGCAAAAGAGCTGCGTAGTAGGGGGTATTTGTAGAGAAACAAAAGCTATTTCCTTAGAAGAGATCTCCTATAGAAATCAGAGTATCCTTTTGGATGTTATGAGAAGGAATCTTTTACTAGATATATTTAATTCGTTTAAAATTTTGTTTATTTTATAAGAACCACCATAACAACAGATAGATGGGCTGGGTATACCAAATTAGAAAATAATGGATATATCCATTATAAAGTTTTGGTATACCAAATTAGTAAATAATGGATATATCCATTATAAAGTTAAATATTAAATATAATATAAATTTATATTATTTTTTAGATTAATCAGTCAAAATTTTGTGGAACCGATTAATAGAAGCATAAATATCCAGTCCATAGAGCGTCTTTGGCGCGAACGACCTCTAAACAAAATATGTTAAATCTGGAAGGTCTCAGTTTATAGAAGATTAGATAGCAACATATATTTATTTTAAGAGGCGAGAAAAAATAATCGAATGAATATCTTTAAAAATATTTTAGAATATATTTTTCAGACTTGCATACAGGGTTGGGCAGTATCGCGGATATTTGTATCTCTTATTAAATTTTGGAAAGTATCTTATATCCAGTATCTAAGATACATATTATTTAAAAGTATTTGTATCTTAACCAACTTTGTATTTAAAAAGATACAGATACTTTAAAAAAATTTATATTTGTTAATTTAAATAGTATTAAAATTTAAAATGATATTGTTTTAAAATATAAATGAAAAATTTAATCAGAAGTTAGATATTGGTAATGTATGTTATACGACGTTGGTCGTCATATAGCAATTTGCTAACAATTAGAACTACCATATTTTATTTGAATCGTTTTATATCCGTCTATTAAAGAAAATAGAATATCATGTTTATCTTCGTCTTAAGATGATTCTCCAACCAAAAAATATAACTATAAATTTAAATTAAGTATTTTAAATGGGAAATTTTTTCAAGTACTTCAACATGATCATAATAAAATTACTACAGAATCTAAAGAATGCCACAAATTTATAAGTGGTTCTGCGGACTCGTCATCAAATTTTGTCAAGCATCTAAAAGTATAATATATAATTATATAATAAATCACATTTATAATCATATTCATTATCATTTCATATTCCATATATATCTGTTGCTAAATTTAGAAGTATTTTTAAATAAATTTTTATATTATTGATTGATAATGAAATTAAAATGATATTAAAAAATCTATGAAAAGAATAAGAAAACTAATATTGATAAAAAAGAGGTTGTTAATTTGAATACTAGGCCAAAATATAATCCAAATTTTTGGGGCACCATTTTTAAATGATAGATAGTACTTAGCAATATTTAATCCACCTTTCATATGTATTTTTTATAATTTTTACATATATGCTTAAAATATAATTTTCTTTATAAAATTAATTAAAATAAATATTTATTAAATATAACACACTATTACCCTCCTCTGCCCCCGTTGAACGATTATTTAGCTTTGCTAATATGGTTAACAAACCAAATCGTCAAACATTGAACGATAAATTATTTCAAAAATTAATAATATTAAAAAACAATGCTGAGCTGATATATTAATATACTAATTATATAATTATTAAAATAAATATCGCATTATCTTATATAATAAATTTGTTATTTTCTACAATTTATTTTCAAATTTTTTATAAATTTATATTATAGATAAGAAAATAAAGCTTTATACATTTTGATTTTGACTATTTAAAGTTTTTTAAAAAAAGTATCTTGTATTTTAGATACTTTTTTTAAAAAAAAGTTACATGTATCTTGTATCTTATTGAAATTTTTTCAAAGTATCTAGTATCTGGTATCTTAAATACAAAATCTTATAAAGTATCTGTATCCGATACAATTTTCTGAAAATTTGCCCAACCCTTGCATAGGTACCATTTGCATGGCCCGTATTTTTTTTTAAAAAAAAGTATTCAGCCCGATCCGAGTTAAAAATATTTTACATTTATTTTTAAATTTTATAGCCAATAATAGCGGTGTAAAAATTCTGTTTTAAAATTATTTAAAAAAATATTTTAGACCGGCCCGGGTATTTAAAAAAAAAATTTCTCAATCCGGCCTGATATATTTAAAGATATTATAATATGGACTGCAGGCCTATGCTAAATATTGGAAAAAAAGCTTATAAGAAATGATATAAGTGACCATTGAGGAAAATAATCTTTAAATTATATTTCATAAAAATATGCAATCTATCAGAAAAACAATTGGAAAAGGTATCTAAGTGTAAATTTCTAAATTATTCTATAACAATATTGGTAACAAATCTGAAAATAGTTAAAGAACTCATATTCTGGTATCTACAACAATATTGGTATTATAAATCTGCAAGTCTTTATAATCCTTAAAGATTTTTTACTCGATTGCCACGCCCTTTATTTAAATTTTTTACAAAAAATGGCTATTTATAACATTAGATTAAAAAATATGTGTATAAATTAACAACCAATAATTTTCGATAATAAAAATATCATTCAACAAAAAAAATATTTAAAAAATAATATGTGTAAAAATTAACAACCATGTTTTTTAATAATAAAAATATCATTCAACTTAAAAAAAATAATAAATAAAATTAACCAATCCTATGACAAGTAAATATAATAAAAAATAACCAATGGTAATTATGGCTCACACACCATAATCTTACCTTACCTGATTTTTTCCTTTTATTTATTTTAAATATTAAGCAATATTAAATGATTCCCTCATGTATATTTTTTTTTAACGTAAGAAAAATAATAGTAAATTTTTAAAGTACTAAAAACAATATTAATTTTTTTAACATTAAAAATATTAGTAATTTTTTAACGGAAAGATGGCTTAAAATATATTAATGATAAATTTATAAATTTTGCAGTATGTTATTAGTTAGACAACACTTATGCAATACTCGGTTAATTTTTTTTTTCTAAATCAAACCCAATTTATCTTTTGTAGGGGGAGTGGCGCTGGTATATAATTATTTTTCCCCACTATACTTTAATCATATCTTGATATCTTGAAGAATACTCTCTTTTCAGATTTCTTTAGCAATAAATTATACAAATTTACAACATACTATTGCATTATTACATTATAATATAAATAAGGAACATGAGGAAACCCAAGTTGTAAAATCAGTTCATTTTTTTTACAGCTACATATAATCAAGGTTGGTTAATTATTTTTTATTATTGTAACAATGTTATTTACAAATGTATCTAGTTTCTATGGATGTGCACGTTTGACATTTTACGTAACAGCACCATACGAATTTACAATGACAACGTTCCGATTTAATAATGCTTTCTTCTAAGTGGCCTCTACCGCAACATATATTATCACAATTGTCAGTTCCGGTAGAGGTTAAATTACATTCTCTTCCTCTCGTGCCAAAAATGCCTGAATGAGGGTCCGGATCACAATAGTTTGGAGATTTGTCCAAATGAACCAATTCGTTTTCTTTGATAGGTAGCTCACATTCGCTTTTAGGTTTTCTGCGCAGTGATAGAATATTTGAGTCAATATCAATTTCGTTGGGTATAATAACATTTTCTTCATTATTCATTGGTAACAAATAATTTAAGGATCGGGATATGCGATTAGTGATCATTAATTTAGGGGCAACTCTGACTGACTCTCTGTACTTATTCTTAATATGGGCTCCGATAATAGAAAATGGTGACATATTGAGCCAGCAAGTCTTTAGTTCGCAAGAACCGGATACTCCATGACATCTGCATTGTTTTCGTATCATATCTTTTATAACCTTTTTTTTAAAAAAATAAACATATATTCAATTTAAATGGATTCTTTTTCCTCTCCGCAATTTCATTTACTTTTCTCCCCATTTGATTATTATGCAGATTAACCATATGTCTTACGATAAGCTTGTTCGGTCTTTTGTATGGAAATGTAAAAATTGGGGTCGATTCATTGATGGAAATGCGAAAAACTTTATAATCATTTGAATTGCTTATTAATATCGATTGTGACAAATTTTTAAAGCTTTGAAATTTAATGGCTTTGCTTTTATCGGAGTCAATCACCGAAGGGCCAAAATATTTTAAAAGCATTTTTAATTGATCCCGATCTGGAGCGTCTACAAATTCTTTCGAGAATTGTATTCCGTAGTCAATGTTATCACTACACCCGCCCCATTTCCATTCAGATTTTCCCATGAGCTCATCATCATCTTTATATACACCATTTTAATAATTGATATTTATTACTACTATTTAGTTTAATTTCTAAGGATATAACATTTCTATTACTTAATTATTTTCATAATATTGAGGGGGGGGGGAATATTGCCATGTAGTTAAAGGAACTAAGAGGGATAAGGGAATGTTTCAAAGAAACACTTGTAATTCCCTTTTAGGATTACAATTTGAGTTTTTTGTTTGAGGGTAAGTAACTCGTTTTTAACCCCCGTCCTTATTGAAATTTTCCTACCCAATTGATTAAAAATAATTTAAGGGATTAGGAACTGGAGTTTCCAAAACACTAAAGATTAGAGAGATAAAAATAAAAGATTTCAAGATAGACATATATTTATTGCATTCTTTAATTTCTTGAAGTTCCGAGAGGTCAGAGTTTCTATTGGCGGGAAATGGGCAACATATGACACTCCCCAGACAGGTCTTTTTCCGCCGAGCCAAGATATCATGCCATCGGGACGCTTACCATTATGACAATATTAAGTAATTCCATAATGGGGATGGGCAAAAATTTAAATTAATAAACCTGGAACATGTAAATTTTTGAATTCAAGAAAATTATTAAATATTATTATACTTTAGAATAAAAATTAAACTACCTAAAGAACAAACATTGTAGAATTCAAGATATTATTTTCAATCTTAACAATCTAAAAAATACATTTCAACCCTATATATGTCCTAGGATCTGGAGGAATTCAGCGTGATCCGGTATCACTCCTAGGGTATGGATTAGCGCATATATTTCATTTTCATAGACTTGATTCTTCCGGAATTGTATTCCAGTATGTGAGTATGTATCTTACTTTCCTTAGACAAGCCCTAAGATTTTCAACCAATTTTAATTCAAATCTATTTTTCCATAATAAAAATTAATTCAAAATTTCATGGCAAATATGGCGGAATGCCATTCCGAATAAATGAGGTCTTTAAAAATAAAAATAACGCGTGCTATAAATAATCCAATTTTAAAGATTCCTCCATATCCTAAAATTTTCCTATTTCTAATATACTCCAGAGTTTTGTAGAAGTCTAATTTTCAACCATGCCCGGGTTTGTGTTTTCTTGCCCAATCCGAATTTTAAATCATACAATTTTGAGGCCCGAATACCTCGAGCCGGCCTGTTTAGTTCTCCGATATATATTAAGAAACGCGTTTTTTTAGGTTGTTGAAAGTTTTTTTAAAATTATTTAATTTTATTAAGGTAACGCATAAGGTTTCTTAAAAAACTCAAATGTGAATTTAAACTACATGCAAAATAAATATATGAGACCTCTTAAGTCAAAGGTATTTTCTTCGTTTTTAGAGAGGGTTTTACATGTACAATCCGTTAAATTACCGGAGGAGCAGGATTGAGTTACCGCGTGCACAACGGCTGCGGAAGCTGCTGCATAAATGAACGCAGATTCTTTTGTTCCTAAAAAACATCAAATTATATATTTTTTAGAGTGTTTTCTTATTTAGAAATGGATAATTTTTAATGGTTATTATATTTAAAATGAGTATTTTTTTTCTTATTTTTTATCTTTATACTAGCGAAGGTTACCCCCCCCCCCCCCACCCACCACTCATAAATGACTTATTGGCAAAGTTTCCTTATAATGATTAGTTAGATAATATCAGTATATACTTATTTTCATTTTACAAATTTTAAGATTTTTTTGCCTATTATTTCAAAAAGTATAAAAACTTATTAGGATAGCCTAATTTGGATATAAATTTCAAAAAATTAACCCTTTTCCAACGTTTTACTGAGAATGTTGATAATTTTTATATTGGCCTCGTTATCATATAATGGGAAATTAATATTCTGATAGTTATCATTAAATACGGCATTCTGTTCTGATTGAAGGTAAAAATGAGGATGCCTTAAACCGACTCTTCTGATCCTTTTTTTGACTCCTTTGCTAGGTACATTTCTGCGTCCTTCCAATACTGGTGCTTGATAGATTTTATCAAAATAATTTTCATCCTTTTCCTCTAAATCACTCTCGATCCTCTTTTCTATAGCGGCGGTGCTGCAATTCCATCTTTCATTTCTAAATTGTTGCTGACATTCTGTCAAGGCCATCCGCGCTCCTTGAGTGACGCATGTTAAGCTTTCAGGATGGTTTTTGCAAACCTCAATTTGACTGTTCACTAATTGATTTCGGAAAGTTTGTCTGCAAGCTATTTCGTCTTGCGAGGGTTCAACTATTTTATTTGTGTTACCGGTATAACTCTCATCGGCTTTATCCTTGTTACTAATAACTTTCAATTTTTTATAAGTCATGGGCTTGTTAGTGCGTTCCTCAATTTTATGATAGGTGTCTGGATGTTTTTTAGGATGAGAATTTATTAGTTGTGGGAATTGGTAAGGCTTTCTACCTCGCTTTAATTTTATAGGCAAAGATATTTTATGGGATTTAGATGGAGGGTCGTAATTAACGAATTTATGTGGATTATACTTACCATCTTCCGATTTTCGATCTTCATTATCGTCTCTACCATATCTTTTATTTTTATCGTTTAAATCTTGCTGAAGTTTGAAATTCACGGAATTTTCTACGTAAGATTGAGATCTTCCTTTGTCATAAAACGGCATAAAATTTTTGTATGATGATGCTGACATACCTAAATATCTTTTTTGTTTGTTTGTGTTAATTAAACATGTTTTTAATAATGATATTATTCTGATGTGAAATTCGTATAAATTATTTAAATTTAATTATCTTCTTATATTTTAGGTTGACAATAGCATAACACCTCTATTTGATTACAATATAAATTTAGAAATGTCGACCAAATAAAATAATCAATGGAGATAATATAGAAAAGAAATTTTGGCTCGTGTCCGGAATTTATATTTGGTCCAGATTTTTTCTTCGTAGGCCCGAGCCTGCACAGACCGAAATTTTTAATTCACAAATTAAAATGCATTTGAATAAAGGTAAATTACTAATCACTTGTTTTAATTACAGAGGAATTCTATTAATTATCGTTTTATTTTGATTTAAGAGGTGAAAATAACATTTTATTTTAAAATTTTTTTATATACCCTACCCCAGCTCAATTTTTTTAATTGTTGATATCCCGACCGGCCCTTGAAGATCTTTAGGTTTGAGCCGGGCTCAAATTTTTTAAAATCTATTAGCCTGGTTCATTATAAATATTCAGAAGATAAATAATAATAAAAAATTATAACAAAATTATTAATTCAAAAGATAATTAAGCAAAAAATGAGCTAATAAATTTTTAAAAAATATCCGTCCTAATTTTAGGAAATGTCAATCTCAGTATATATAAAATAGAATTTAATAAAATGTTTCTTAAAGGTTATTGAGATCTCGAGAACATGATTCTACAAATAAATCGTATTGTAAACAAATGCGTTAAAGCGAATAGGGAAGGTGAATTTTTACAGCAATATAACTACAATATGGATAATGTATTATATATATTTTTTTCTACCCTGGTGAATTATTAATAATTTTATAAATTTCAAATGAAAATAAAATTATACCAATTTCATTGTTTCAAAATATGATGTGGAATGAATCTAAAGATACATTAACATAAAACATAATGTTTTTAGCAATGAATACATGAAAATGATTAAAGAAGAAAATTATATTTTAATTTTAATAATGGTTAATATAAAAATTATACATTTATTCCGTTTTCTTCTTATAATGATGAATATAATTATGTACCTTTTTATAATAAATGTCATTGTAAAATTATTATTCCATTTTACATTTGGTCCCCCTCGTCTCTAAACAAACAAAACATAATACCTATAAAATAAAACATATATGAAGATAAACCGATCCCCATATAAATTTATTCGCATCGTTAGACGAATTTTTTGAATATTTTTGTATTAATTATTTTATACCTCTCTCCAGTCTACTAATTTTTTTTTATTCAATCATCTTCATCCAAGGTAATAAACAAAAAAGGCTTATCCTTGCATAATAAGGTTGCCGTAGTAGGACATGAAGACCCTGCACAAAAATATCCCTTGTCAAAAAGACAATGGACAAAAATAGGCTAAACGAAATCTTTAAAATATACATATAAAAGGTGAAATAATAATAAAATAAAATTCAGAGGTTCCATAAAAATTAACAAGAAAAAGGGTCAATGATAGCTGGTCATTTTTATAAGTAAATTTTGCTGGTAAGGCAGCTATTGAGACAATAGTTCCAATTAACCCTAACATATCTCTACCCCCTTTTAACCCTAACCTCGCTCAAGAAGTTGGTTTCAAACTCCGTGGATCGAAGAAAAAATATTTTACTGAAAAAATTATGTAAGCCTTAAGATTTGGCAAATAGAAACTATCTCCTATTTATACATTATAATCTATTTATTTTTTAAAAAAGAGATATATTTAAGAAAAATATTTCTTTAGCGAAACTAGTTCAATTCATATATTTCAATTTCAAAAGAAGAAATCTCAATTTCAAAAGAAGAAATCGAATAGTAGAACTAGTTTCTTTTAACAATTCAATATTTAAAATATGAGGGTTAACGTTTTAGAATTCATTCAATCGGATTAGATAATCAATTATTAATTTTAATTGCAAGAAGGAAACTTAGATAAATAATATTATTTATTCCTCCTTTATTCTTCTTTCTTTTCGTATTCACCTCGGTTAAATGAGGAGAGGAAAATTAAACTTGATAAAGGTCTGTAGGGCCGGACCAACTAAATTCGGATTGAACGGGGCAACTTGTGCAAAATATTTTTGCAGACCAGGCCAGAATTTCCCAAATTTTAAAATAAATATATGCAAATTTATACTTCTTCCTTTTCATAAAAATGTCATTTTTCAAATATTTAGGGCAACTTATTTGTATTATATAATATAGATAATCTTCTACAAATTTGTCTAACCTATCATCCTCTCCTAGATTCCTCTTTTTTTTTAAAGAATAAACCACGAACAAAAACATTTTTTCCCTCATTTCTTTTCATGTTATTTTAAACCTGTTGCTAGCGAAGTGATCATTGATATATTATGAAAATAAAATATGAAGGGGAAAAAATCCAAAAAAAAATACCCACTTTAAAATTTAATTTAACCATAAGGTAAGATATTCATTTAACCTAATTTATTTAATCTACCTGTGTAATTTCTTTCTTAATATTTTTCATCTAACATATATAGTTAAATCCATACATTTCCAAATATTCAATTTTTAAAATAGATTTTCAATAATTTACCATTTATTATCATTTTCATTTAATGATCATTACATTCCTATACCCTTATTCTTACTGGGTTTTTTTTTCTTTTCAACCTTTAGAACAAACTAGCTACAAATTTATTCATAATATATATTAAATAATTATAATACCTAACTATGCAAAATAGAAATTAGCACGGCCCAGACATTTATTTTTTTTAGCCCAGCTTGTAATTTCATAAGGAAAAAATCATAAATTTGCATTGTTTAAAATTTTAAAAATTGCCAGCCCCAGTCCGGAAAATATATACAAGTTGTCCTGATATTTATTTTATGATCCATTACTTATTGAAATATGTTTTTTTTTTAATATTTTGCACTGATAGATAATAAATAACCTTTTTCATTTAAGTTTCAAGTTGATTTATAAATTGAATGTGAAAATGTTGAATTAAAATTAATGATCATTAAACCTGCATTTTTTTATGTATAATCGTATTTAATATTATTACTTATTTTATTAGTATTATTTTATTTAAATACAACTAATCAAACATTTAAAAGTTAAACCTCTATAAGGTGCACTGTTGCTTTTTGTAGTATAAACACTGAAAAAAAATAGATGGTAAATCTAATATATAGTACATGGATTCTGTTAGCGAGAAACCGAGTATTGAGGAGTCAAAATAAAAAAATGATCTCCACTAAGAAGGGTCATTATGGAGGTTTCAATAAATTTAAAATATTTTTTGTAAACCTAGTTAAATTTTTTAAATTTAAAGTATTTTAATTAATAAAATTTTTTCTTATCTTTATCATTCAACATAATGCACAAAACAAATAATGTTATAACTAGAGAAAAAAAATGTTTATTAGGCGCGAAAGGTCTTTCAAAATTAAATTTTCATTTTTTGCTTTCACTAGAGGTCTACAATAAGCGGGGTTTTAACCCGAAAATTACACTTTCTAAATCGATATTAAATAATTTGATATTAAATAATTGAACTAGTATCGTATAATATGAATCAAATAATTGCATCGTATTCATACAAATCGAATAATTATACTATTCATATTCACCCACCCTGTGTTCGTGTGAATCGAATAATTGTACTAAATTCGAATGGATAATGTATTTGATAAACTACAGATAAAATAATCGTAAATTGGTTTGTTTAATAAAATTTAATTGAATACTTTTAAGGATATTTTATGTTTATATAATTATAATAATACTATAATAACCCGTCAAGAATGACGGGGTTGAGGGGTAATTAGTTAGTTTGTGTATATGGTACTAAATATGCTTTATATTAAAATTTAGGAGAAAAAGAGGTAAAATTGTTGCAATGTAGTGAGCATTAAGGGTATTAGAAATACCAAAATTTAAATTTGGGGTAAAATTAAAAATAGAGATTCTTCAAAATTTTTGAATTTTAAATATGGGCTAGACATTGGCTTCAAAATTTTGTTTTGCAGACACAGCTAGGCCTGATCAAAAAACCACGTCCCATGCAACTTTCCCAAAATTTAGCCATTTATTTCTATTGTAATTTAATAACAATGTCTTAAATTAAATTTTAAATTTAGAATAAAATTTAAATTTATGATAGAAATTATATTGAATAAAATTTAAAATAATGCTTGGAAATTTTTTAATTTTAAATATGGGGTAGACATTGGCCTGAAATTTTTTTTTGCAGACATAGCCAAGCCTGATCAAAAAACCAAGTCCCATGCAACTTTCATAAAATTTTGCCATTTATTTCTATTGTAATTTAATAACAATGTCTTAAATTTAATTTTATATTCCATTTATTTCTATTGTAATTTAATAACAATATCTTAAATTTAATTTTATATTTAGAATTAAATTTAAATTTTGATAGAAATCATATTGGGTAAAATTTAAAATAATGATGCTTTAAGATTTTTGAATTTTAAATATGGGTTATTTATGGGCCTGAAAATTTTTTTCTCAAACCTGGCCAACCCATAATAATTTTGTAATTTTTTCCCAAGCCTGTAGATAGGTAAATATCTGAAAACCATATTGTTGGGAAAATTTTCTCAAGCCCGCCAAAGACCATAATAATTTTGTTAGTTGAGAACTGAAATAAAATATATAAAAGTCATAATTCATTTAAAAATAAAATCAGAATATGAAAGTTGCATGGGTTTGGTTTTTTAATCAGGCCTGGCTATTTCTGCAAAAAAAAATTTTCAGGCCAATGTCTAGCCCATATTTAAAATTAAAAAATTTTCAAGCATTTCTATTTTATATTTTACACAATATGATTTCTATCACAAATCTAAATTTTATTTTATATATATAATTAAATTTAAGACATTTTTATTAAATTACAATAAAAATAAATGGCATTTTATGAAAGTTGCATGGGACTTGGTTTTTTGATCAGGCATGTCTGCAAAAAAAAATTTTCAG